TCTAACGGTTCTAAATTTAAGAACCAGAACTGGAAGAACTGAATCTCCAAACTGGTTTTAACCGCTCTATTAAGGAACTGCCCCATCCCTAACATATACCTAGATACATACTAGTGATTAGGTATTCTTTTTCCTATATTTTATATAAAGATTCTGAAAAAGAATATTCTAAGTATCATCTATTAAAAATGTATTTATTTACATCTCTGAAGCATTCTAAAAAGGATAAGCCAACTCTGGTATTACTTTTTTAGTATATTTTATCTTATGTAAAGGCTTTATCATATCCAAATACATATCAAGAATAAATTTTCTTTCATTATTTTTTATAAAAATTCTGAAGAAGACTTATCTTCTAGATATATATTTAATTGCATTTTATTTATGATTTGTTGACCAAGTTCATTATCACTTTTTTGGTATATTTTTATTTTATATGAAGGCTTTATTATGCTTAAGTATATATCTAGAAAAGTGTAATCTTCTTATATTATTTTATATAAAGATTCAAAAAAAAACTATGTCTTTCTTTTATAATTTATCGATTAAGTTTGCTATTCCTTCTTTTTGCATTTATTGAAAAAAATAAATTAAACATTTCAGAAATATATTGTAATATAATATATCCTAACTAATTTTGACCAAACTGATCACACTAGAACTGGTTCTAATCCTTCAGTTACATACTATGATAACACTTACTTTAATGGATATTTGAGTAATTTAAGCAGTTTGTACTGATAATGGATCTGACTTAAAATCAGATAATTATAATAACTATAAAACTAATTATAAATCTGATAGTGAAAAAATTCTTTACATTTTAACTAGTATTACTAAGACTCCATTAGTTCAGCTACCAAATGTAAAAAAATAAAAGATTAATATGATATATACTTTAAGGTAGGAAAAGTTTAATGATAAATTTTCTCCTAAGAATTGGTAAATAGAATTTGAAAAATTATTTTATCATCGCCTAAAAATATGTTAAACAATAAAGGCTTATTAGATTGTCTTCCAATCTTTTTATTTCTCTTTCTAAATGAAAAGAGATCTAGTTTATAAAATACTTATAATCAAGATGAAGTAAAAAATAAATTAGTTATTAAAATTAATTAAAATTGCGATCAGCCCCAAAGTTTTTCATTGCAGATGAGATTTTTGAAATATATGGTTTACCTAAGATTCATGAATATATTAATAGTCAAAAATCTTTAAGGGCTATAATCAATATTGATAATTTGTAAGAAGATATAGAAATAGTTGGTATTAAGTAGCAAAAAGAATTCATTCAAATCTGTTTTTCTTTTATAAGAGTTTTGTATTGAATTCTTGATTGTGACTGAAAAGATATTCTTAAAAAATTAGTAATTATTACAGTCAACTCTCTATAAATGCATCCCTTATAACTAGGTATAAAGGTGTATTTAAAGAGGATATATATTTATAGAATATATATAAATCTATATAAAATTAAAGTAATACAAAAAATTTATAAGTAATTTATATAAAATTTTTATAAAGAGTGTGTTTATAGAGAGTATATATATATAATATATGTATTTAGTATTAAAGTTCAAGTTAAAATCAGATAAAAAGATATATTTATAAAGGATGTGTATTTATAGAGAGTGCATTCATAGAGAATTAACTGTATATTATCAAATCTTAGCAAGTATAACTACCATATTTTATATGTATTAGCTTTCCTTATTGATCATCATGAGCTCAAAGTAGCATTCACTGAATTAGTATATATCTTAACTAGTGAAAAATTCGTCAAGTATATTGATTGAGAATCTTTTGGTTAAAAGTTTAACCTTTACCTTATCAATTCAGCAAAAAAAGATCATGTGAAATGTATCTGGCAATTTTTACTAGATAATAGGTTAAATGAACTTGATTATACTAGAGTCTAATTATCTATTAGTTTGTATCTTGTAATAAGACCCTATATACTTAATTTAGAATAAATAATAATCCACTAAGAATAATTATGAGTCAGAATATTTACAAAAATACATAAATTTAGTTTTGCAAAAATATTCTATCTATCTTAGAAATTAAAATATCAAAGAAAATAATTTGCAAATTTTAATACCTTTTTCTATTGTTTATAATACTTACCAGCATTAAAAAGGTAAGATGTTCTATTTGACCTCTAATAAAGAAATAGTATTAGTAGAATTCTGAGATTATATCAAGCAAACGTCTTTATTACCTTTTGAGAATCAAACAAGTGCATCACTTATCTACCATTTTAAAAAGAATATACAAGAAATTATTTTGTATTCTTAAACTGATTTTTCAGAATTGCAAATCAAAAAATATTATGGTAAATTTGATCCTGTGAAAAAGACACATGATTTTAACAATATAGAAGAATTATGAAAAGACATAGGCTAAATTACTTATACTAACACTTTAAAAATAAGTATTTTATGTACTAATTCTAAGCTTAAATAAGTATTTTGTCTTTTTAATAATTATATAGAAATAAATGCTAAAATAAATCAGATGTTATTTCGTATATAATATATTAAGAATTATATATATCATATTGAACAAAGATCATCTAATGTTTCCATTTCAGAAAAAAGAAATATTCTAATAGTTATTAAGTGTTAAACATGAATGTTTCCCCTAGGAATTTCAGAATAGAGGAATATTTTCAGATGTAGATTCTATTATCTAGAATAAAGATATACTAACTATTCGATTGTAATGGCTTATATGTTAGAAAATTTTATTTTCAGCAGTTATTTAGTTAGAGGATGATTATTTCTTTTGAAAAGCTAGCATGAGTATTTCGATCATGGAATCTGATTCTAAATCTGAAAATACATTATCACAAGTGATAAAAGCGAAATGCTTTATTAGGTAGAGAAGATATCAGATAACTAATACTAATATTCTAGATTGCAAAACTGCTAAATTCTTAAAGAAAGAAATGCGCTTTTTAGACTAGCATCATATTGTGAATTATTATCAGATCACACCTGAATTATTAACTGAAGAATTCATTTCAAAGTATGAAAATTAAATGGATTAAAGCTTACAGGCAACTACGAGATGCTGGTACTAATAATAAAATGGTTGTTAAAGCTATCACCTATAAAGATTACAGAAAAGACAGACTTATAACTACAACTAAAGCTAAGAGACATTGAATTTGCTTAAAATTATTAAAGAGCTGTACACCTGCTAAAGATATTAATGATAGAGTATGATATAAAGCAGGTGATGTATAGATTCTTTTAAATCAATTTCATATCTTCAGAGTTTAGTATCTAAAATGGCTTAAGTATTTGATAATACAGATGCATCGCGTAGTGCTAAAAATTAGGACTAAAAACAATTTGAGCAAAACTTAGTTTATTAAATGCATCACTTTATAACTTATGGATTAAAATTTAAGGCTATAGATAAGAGACATAGATATTACCATCTAGTTAGATCATTCAATACTAAAGGTCCTGAATTACCTTTATACTAAACAGGAGAAGAAGTTTATTGAGAAAAAGGGAGATATGCAGTATGGGTATAATAAACTCTCATCAGATGAATTGTTATTGGGTGATTTCTCTAATTCTAGCAATGTAGATACCACACATGTCGCAGAAGATATTCAGGATTTATCTAGCATCCCGTGATTTTTTATAATTAATAATGACTAATAAATCGTTTATCAGGCAAAGAATCATTTATCAGACAAAAAAGTAATTATTAAGCATTATTAACTTTTTTCAAGCATTATTTGTATTAATAAAATTGCATTAATAACTTATATCTTCCAATTTTTATATAATAATTCTGAAGAAGGTTCAATTTCAGAAATATAAATTACGCATATCGATTACCGAATTCATTGGATTTTTTTTGTCTTCAACAATCAGGCTGTTACCTCTGGTAACCGACGTAATTATGAAAATAACGGGCTTTTAGGGCGACGTAATTTTTTCTAAATAAATTGGGTTAAATTCTCATTTGGATCCACTTTGTGAGCTCTTTTCACGTGTATTAATCATAAAGTATAAAATAAACCTTTCTCCCAGCGCATTTATGCAAGATAATTATTAAAAAATCGCCTAGCGTTATTATCTAAAAAATTTCGATTCGATCCACCAATAACAATAAAATATACTACACATCATCGCTTTATCTAAATATGTCCAGTTTAATATCCTTCAACACTTCGGGAAGCATGCCATTTTTGGCCTTACCCGCTGTTTTTTTCTTCGTGAAGTCATGGGTCCATTGCCATGTGGTATCTCAAACAAAAAATCTCTGATACTCCCGCGGAAATTAAAACGTTTATTAATGCGGAGATCAGCAAAATTAAGAATGAAATTGATACTAAAATCGCAGATGAATTCTCTGCACGTGACATTAAAATCGCCAACGAACTTTCCGCGGAGCTCAGAAGAATCAATAATGATCTTAATAATAAACTTAACGAATAAGTTAATGGCGGGGTTCGGTAAAATTAATACCAAACTTAATAGTAAACTCACCGCAGAAATAGAAAGTTCAAGGCACGTGATGCTAGCTACGCCTCTGAATTTTATCGATGGTCAATAATGTGACCACAAGACTTCAAGCAGGCGTGTTCTTATATGCCTTTCCTCCCTTGAAACAACCTGCTATTCTATTATTTTTTACTTTCCTTTTTACTTAGCCGGCCGGCCCTTTCTCACGTATTATTTTACAAAGATATAATAAAGAAATTTACTTTGAATTTTTTAAACATGTTTACGTGTTTTAATTGTTTTATGTGTATATACATTCTCAAATATAAATTTTGTGTTCGCTATCAATGAAAAATAATTTGGTTTGTAATAAAAAATTAAGCGTCAAATTTCTTAAAAAAGAGAGAGCAAAGCATCATATATTTCGCTTGCAATCCTTAATAAATTTAGCTAACTTTGTAGAATGTAATAATACAAAGATTTGATTTAGGTGTAAACAAACTGAATATTAAAAATAGAAATATCAAAATTTCATTCTAATGCCGTATCTGCATATTTCACCCACAACTTGCCTAAGTGAAATAGTGAATTTGCAAGACAATCGCGTTTATCCATACTATATTCCGTGTTATTGAGAGCCTTCTTACAGGTTTCATGCGTAATAGAAGATATTTCTGATCGTGAAAGTTTCCAGGCCACTTTTATTCTTTTTACCTCTTCATTATTAGTCTTGTTTGTTACGACTTCATGAATTAAATCCCAAGCAAACGTGAGGCCACTAAAAAGATTAGAGAATATGTTATTGGAGAATATGTCTTTGCTTGATTGGGTTTTGGCCTCAGAAATGTAAATTTCGCCTAGTAAGGTTAATAACTCTTTGCCGTTAGGTTCCGCAAGAAGTTTCTGGGCTTCTAGGGAAAGAATTTGCTGAAACGAAGGATCAATTGGCTTCGGTAATTGAGAAAGTTTGCCTTGTAGATGACTAGTTATGTTGCGAACACGAATGTTATGACGACGTTCTTTCTGCTCAACCGAGGTTATATGTTCTAATTCGGGTAAACTATTGTTATCAAATGAGTGTATCCAGAGACCAATTTCCAGGTCACCGATGTAGGGTTTCCAAAGTTCTCCTCCTACATAGCAGTTGAACGATGCTTTATTTGCAAAGGCTAAAATCAATTCAAATTAGATGAATCAAGAGAAATGAAAATTATTAAATACAAAAAAGATTGAGACCTACCGCTGCTGACTGTTCCGTAGTTATCGTAAAGTACGCGACTGTTCTCATCTGAGAGGATTTGATATGCCTTTGAAAGTTTAGTCCACTGTAATTAGAACATTAAGTTAATATAGTATATGAACGGTATTTAAAAAAATAAAATCTGATATGCTCACCTGTTCGGTTTCAACACCGCCATTCTTATCAGGATGATACTTCAGAGCAAGTTTCTTGTAACTTGATTTAATCTCAGTTTCAGTAGCGTTGCGTGTCAATTGGAGAACCGCATACAAGTCTGTTTCTTTTGATTTATAGCAATGACGGGATAAGCACTTTTACGTGGTCTACCTTAACAAGTTAGGTAACACTTACCACGAGAATGATCAGGTTGTTTGGTTTCTTTCGATTCGCTTAACCTCTCTTTTTCTTTTGATTTATAGCAATAACAGGATAAGCGTTTTTACGTGGTCTACCTTAACAAGTTAGGTAACACTTACCACGAGAATGTTCAGGTTGTTTGGTTTCTTTCGATTCGCTTAACCACTCTTCTATTATCTTTTTTTTATTCTTCTTAAAGTCATCTTCACCGATTCCGCCAGACTCGAATCGTCGCTTGTTCTCTGTTAATTTTGAATCGAGATTCATTTTTAGTGACAATTTTCGGAGTTTGTACCTTTATATATGTGATCAATAGAGTCATTGTTTGTTTTAAAAACTTGTTTTCAAGTGGCTTATTCGTACAACATGACACTACAAAAGAAAAAAAGTAAAAAGAAATCTTTTAAGGTAATCTCTATTGATACTTGATGGACTTGAAAACATCACGCAAGTGTGTACAGTGTACCCGATGCATATTTGTTTACTATTTCAATAATGTTTGATTGGGAAATTATGCAGATTGGCGGATATGCAGATACAAGAAAGACACATTGCATCGTCACACCTTTTAAATAAAAATGGAATTAATGGAATTTTGTTTTGTATCCGAATCATTCATTCTAATTAAATGCTTTAGTTTGCGCGAAAACTTTTTCAAAACTTCAAAAATCAATTTCTGAATATTATCAAAGTTTCCGTATTCATAATACAGTATTTCTGAAACTTGTAAAAACAGAAATATGGGTAAACTTGAAGATGACCTCACTGAACTCAAGAAATGTTACGATAATGATTTAATGACTAAGCAGGATTATGATGATGCTCGTAGAAATAGACTTGGTGAGTTAGGAGAGAGCTTTATTTTATTCGATACCTTTACGAGACTAATAATTGACTTGTCTTATTTGCAGGCCTCAAACAAGCAGATAAATCATGGTGGGAAAAATTTCTCGAGCGTTGCCATAGTTCTATAGCAGGCACGATTGATTCCATCCTTAGTCTTTTTACTGGACAAAGATTAATCAAAAATTAACAGAAACCCTGTACTATTTCTTTACAATGATCAAATAACAATATCTTGGCTATTTATTAATAAAATTTTGTAACTGTGATCCTATTATTTTTTCTCGTTTTAGTTTAGGACATGCAATAATAAATCTAAATTTTTTTCGCGTGTATAGAATAATAGGGTATTCATGTTTTTTTTTATTAGTTGCAATATATAAATTTATTCTCTTCAACTGCGCATAATTTAGAATCCACAAAATGAATCACTTATATTTTAAGTATAATCCTGTTAAAATTGCCATAAATTGTTATAAACTGCTTATACACTTGCAATGATGGTTAAACCTGTATGGAGTCCTATCAATTGTGATATAGATAAAGTACAAAACGTTAAGAAGTCAACGTTACAATATGATTATGAAATACCAAAAATGTGATGCTCTTGTATTCGAGCCTCATTTAAAAAGTTTCTTTGAGATAATTCAAAGTACTTTTTTGAGAATGATTATATCAACTTAACGGAAGATATATCTAAATGGGAAATATGAAGGTGGATTACGAACTTTTTATATTTACTGCACTGTATGTGATTCATCAATATTTCTCTAATAAGGCATTAACACAGACATGTAAATGAATGCTTGAGTAGATGCATATATAAAAATAATATATTATTAGCAGAGACTGAAATAAAGAGCCTCCATTTGCACAGTCACTTTTCTGCTCAGAAAAAAATAGTAAACAGATATCAATGACATGTCTATCATGTAAATAGTAACATTGATAAGTGTTTAGTCTCTATACGAGAAAATATGACAAAATAGCTCTTCATAATGAACTGTTCTATTGCTAAAGATAACTTCCTGAGAATAAAAACAAAAAGAGAGATTGGATTGATCCTTCATTATTACAAATATGCAACGTAATGCAGTACACCTGAAATGTTCTTTTCAGACTATAATTCTGTGCGAAGAAATGCAAATAAGAGATAAACTTAATATCATTTGACCGAATATTAACATTATTTATCTTAACTTTATTTATAACTTATCTATAATATAATTTAATTTTTTTTGTGAATAGCTATATATCTGTATATATGATTACCTAATGAAATTGTAAAATTTATTACCTGTATAATTAAAAATTATTATCTGCCTATTTTGGATTAGAGTTTATGATGTTCATCTAATCCATAACCATTTTAATAAAGTTTTTTTGAGAAGTTTAAGAAGATTAATAAAGCGACCTTAAGAGTTCTTAATTCTTAAATACTAGAATTATGGTTTTAAAAATTTCTACACAACAGTTTTATAGGAATTACAAGAAGAGACCTGAATCTTTGGTAAAACAAGTTTTGGAGTAAGGTTGCTAAATAAAATCTAAAGGTTTTGCAAGTCATCTAAATAAAAAAAGGTAAAATTTAATAAAATTATATTAAGAATAATGTAGGTATCATAGAGATGATTATTTTATTTATCACTTAATATATAAAATATACGTTATGCTATTAAATTATATTATGCAATAATCATCATACATCACCTATTGAATAAAATTTTTGCTAAACAATGACGAACAAAATCATTCATATATATTTTATTGATTGATTATAATAAAAGTTTAAATATAGGTATATTTTCATAATAAATTAATACACATAATTTTACTTTCATTTTTATTCTCACATATAAATAATACATATTTTTTTTTCACTTTTATTTTTCTTTCTAATTTTTTTTCTTTTATCACAGTTTGGATTTATCAAATGAACTAAATTTTTCTAATAAACCTACTAGTGATGAAAATAAAGATTGTAGTAATGAAGTTTACAATATTAGTATTCAAGAAAATTTGAATAACAAAATATCTTTCAAAATAGCTACTGAAAATATTAGTCTTAATTCAACTTTTTCATCTTAGAAAGAAGCTGAATTATTTCTTAAGAAATATGAACATTATAATAGTTTTGCTATAAATAAATATCAGATGATAAGGAATAAATTAAATCAAATAGTCACAAAAAGAACATTTATATATGAATTTAATGGTAAATTCAGGTTAAATAAAAAAGAAGTTACTGAAAATAAAGAAATACTAGAACTAAAAAACGTGAGTATTTATAATATCTAAATTTAACATTTTTAGTAAATGTTATGAATATTACTATTAATTTATTTGTAAATGAATACAATCATAAATTAAGATCAATTACCAGTAAATTTAGCAGCAAATATAGAGAATTATCAAAAAAAATTATGAATGAGATTAAAATAATGATTAAATATAGCAATCTTTTTATTATTATGCAATGTAATTTATTAAAGGATTAATTTTCAGATATCAATTATACAGATTCAGACTTATCAAATACTATACAAAAATTTAAGATTATTAGCAATAATAATATGTACAATAATGCATCTGATTTTTTTTTACCAATCTTATGCCAAAAAAGAAAATCTAAACTTTTTCCTCAAATTTGAACTTGATATTAATAATCGTCTTGTGAAAGTATTTGAATGACACTGTGACGGATAAAATTTTAGATAGATTTAATTGGTAGAATATGAAGTCCATTTTATTGCCATGTAGATCTTTTATGAAGATCATTTTGTCCATTTTATTGCCATCGATCAATTATGCAAATCATTAGATGTCAATTTTATTGCCTTTGATAATCACGTAAATCATAGATGTCCATTTAGTTGCCTGCAGATCTGTCAATTTAATTTCCTTTGAATGTTTTTGATTTAGTTTATTTAATTATTTAATATGTATAAATATTTTTATATTTTTATTAAGTCTCATTACCTTTCTAGAAAAGGTAACCTATGAGATGTTAATCTTTTAGGTACTAAACTTATATATTATATTAATAAAGAAGTATAATTAACCAAGTATAAAACTTATCTTTTACAAACCCTTTGAAACTGTTATAAATTATCTGTGACTTTTTGCATTTGTGCAATCCCTTTCATTAGTAAACTTCTTATATGATATTGTATTGATTTGCTGTATTGACTTGGAGTCTCTGAAGCGTAATCTCTGAAATATCTTTGAGTTAAC